GGCAACCCTGTCAAACACCACTTTCCGTGGTGAACTCGGGTGAAAAAGTGACGTAAGCTCGAACTCGGCTTCGGCTATTATTATAGAGGGATAGCACGTTCAGATGCTTTTGTTGTGGAAGAAGTAATTGCAACGGGACAAAAACGCTTCGATAACATGTCGGGGGTTGACGAGTAGGGAGGGATAGGGATAATGTTATCCTATTCATTTATAAGTCATTTGAGAATTCAGTTTACTGTATTTTTTTGTAACTTAGGCTTCCCATTTTGAACGAACTATTGTTGCGTAAAAGAAACTCAGCCAGCACAGGTTCATACAGCTTAATCGTGCTAACAAGGCTGTGATGATGATAATGTTAGCGGTATTCGGATGGCGGAGGAGCTTAAATGAATGAAGGGTATACCGATTCGGAGTCCGAAGTAACAACCGATAAATCGGTAATATGAAATAGATGAAATCAAACGAAAAATCAACTAAACATTCTAGAAGAAAAACTAAGCAAGATTTATCGTTGAAAGTGCTATGACACTTTGATCACATACCTGAAGTAGGCATGGCATCAATATTGTACTAAATAGAAACCGAGAAGAACGAAATCACAATTTGAGTTCCTAGTCAAACAAGTGAGATTAGATACATCGACATTATTTTCTAACATAAAAAGCATTCTATTGCTGCTTCAAATTTGCTCTCAGTTCGAAAGGGGAGAGAAAGCCGGAATAGAAAATTATCTATAACATACACAGTTGCTTGAAATAGCAGAAATGAGTTGTGAAATAAAACATTTCAAAAAAGTTAGTATTTAAACAGGCAAGTCAGAAAACGAACACTGCAAGAGGAATTCCTTTCAATTAATCTCATTGGTCGCGAACGTCCAACATGAATCAAAAAGGTTTAAAAGAGAAATGCTATTCCTTTGTGTTATTATCGAACAGTTTTAATGTTTTTGTGTCTGTCTGTTCGTTACGGGGCACGGACTTTCAACAAAGGACAATACAGCATTACGTCACTCATATCTGATCTTAGCCCCATCTAGCACAGTCTCCGACCGACGATAATAATCATGTTGATCTGCCACCAAAAATGAGGGAGACACCTAGAAAATTTAATGATAAAGCCAAATAATATATGCATCTATACCAGATTATGATCTGAGTATCGCATCGCTTCTTCCATCCTTACCCAGCACGTGCAAGGAAATTATGAAAAATTAAACGATAGGCAAGCATACGCAAAGCATGACCGATGTCAGAGGTGACGCAGAATTGACTTTTTGTTTAAGAGCGATTAGTTCAGTCAGATAGTGATCATCGGTCCCCAGCGCATTACGTTGAACTCCACCAATGTTCGCCTAATTTTTCCGCCTGAAATGAATAATGTTTCGACGATATCCGTGAACGGAAACAGAAAATAAATGATCATCCCCAATGCAGATACCATGTCTTGTCAAAGTAAAAGATTGGGAACCGCGCAAAATACACCCTCCTCTTGAGCGACAACCGGATGTCATAACGTGGCTCAAAGTGTCGCAGGTTGGCCAGAGCTACTTTAGCTCTCCCTGTTTCTAGCCAACTGTCGAGTAAAATTATAGTGCCCCAATTGGACAGGAAGGCTTCCCAACAAAGGTTTACCCTTAGTAAATCTTAAGCGGATTCCGTCGTAGGTGACTTCAGCAAGCACAAGGCTTTCGCGAACTTTCGTCAACTGTCAATCCCCTTCATGCTAATAATTTGAAGTGCATGCATAAATTCCCGAGCAACTTCACTCCTCACTGCTTTATCCATCCTGGACTTTATGTACTTTGGTCTCCTTAGCTGTCCACGTTCAATCAGCCTTACATTTATCTCAGTTCCGTAAATACCTAGAGCATTCACTTCAGCGCCGTTGAACCTCAAAAAGTATCTAATCCAAGAGTATTACAGTGAGATTATTTTATCTCTCCCATTTCGATTTTAACTTCACTTCATCTCCCCGAAATCCCAAAGCCTTTAAGATTAATTCGACCTCCATTGCTCGACCTTAGCTTTGTGTGTAACCCTGATACATTCTGCAAGATTTTGATATATTTCCTTGGCGATACATTTTAATGAGTTACATAGGTTTTCGTAAGGTTTTGTAGTTGATGACCCCGGGTTACGTGCGACCGCCTGACTGCATCGAACCAGAAACGTTTGTTCCCCAGACACACTACGAGAACAATTCCTAAAGAAAACGTTACTACCAAAAGTTAGTTGAAGTCACTCTGAGCTGCACATTCCCAGCTGCTCAATTTTGGTGAATGGCCTCTACTTGTATACATGGTTGCCAGTCCAGTTCTATCTCACATACGGTATACCAGTTCACCGTTATGGTGACGCATACAGACAGAATCAACCGTCGATTATCACAACGAAAAGCCGAACACATTCTAAGTTGGTTGATGCATTCGATGACGCAACCCACACTCAGTAATCAGGTGGTCACATGTAATCCGGGGTCATCAATTGCGAAACAGCTCAGTGACCTTTTCTCTTTTTATAGAGTATTGTACCGTGATTTGTTTCATGCAGTCTGAACTCAAACGCGTGATAATTTAAAAAAAGTTGAACACATGAACACCAAATACATAAGTTTGTCAATTACTGTTTTCAAACCATTCATGAATAAGCTGTTTGCTCTTCATAGACAATTTTGTTTTCTACAACCTTATTTTGTTTACGAAGTATCACCATCATAGCATGAGACCTTCCGAACGGAATTTTTAGGTCAGTTAATTTACTGTCATAAAGTTAGCTCCTCATCACGAACGTGTGTAGTGGAGTCAGTTTGTTTCTCCTTGCAGGTCTCTATTTTGGTTTCTGTTCTACTTATTTTGGCAGATATGACGTAAATTAATTGAAAACACGAAATGGTGTTATGGAGCCGAAAGTGGAGAACAAAAAATGTAGTCCGCAAAAAAGGCGAACTGATAGCACTATTTACAAACTTCATCTGTATCAAATGATCATCAGTTATCGATTTGGTTGGTTAAAAAGAGCTTAAAAAGGAAGCCAGACACGAACGAGATGATCCAATAAATTCGATGATCAGTGTTTTAATTCCGCTAAATAAGGTCATGGAACAAATACAACTGGCTTTTTCTCATTCAGCATATCTTAGTGAACATTGCATTGTTGGAACATCGAAAAATGCATCTACCGAACACATGATTTAGAAAGGTCTATAACTTGAGAAGTTCTGCGACTAACCGGCACATTGTTTGCTCGTTCATCCCATCAAACTCGTACAATAAGGGCGCAACCGAATATCGCCTTCTAAATAGTAAGACCTTCAGGTACACTAAACATACATACATACAGACAAACAGGCAGACAGGCACATATATATTTAAACTGCTAGGGAAAAAGCATTGTGTCAACACAATAACAGCTGAAATCGAAAATAGGAGTTGATGGAGTGATTCCACAAAACATCAATCAAATCTGGGTTTGGTTCACCGTAAACGAAAAGGCAAATGTCAGCACAGAAATCTGAACTTTCTAAAAACCCAGCGAGGCATGATGATCTATGATGATAAAATTTTTATCTTATTTCCCAGGAAGCCAGGTTGCCAGGCCGCCACAGTCAACGAGATAAAGTAGATTAAACTCAAACTCATAACCTTAGCATACATCGTTAAGATACTACTGATTAAACTCATATGGGCAAGTTCACGTGCATTTTCCTTTTGTCGAATACTCTTGTGCCTAAAAAAAGTTCCAAACATGTTTTAATAATCTCTTCTTTTTTAAACTCATCCTTTTACAAATAAAAGATAACGTCCCACCCCTTCTTGAACATTCTGAAATCCGTTGATACACAGGAGTATTTAGGGTCAGTAACATCACCCATTAAACTACAAATTACCTGAATGAAATCGAAGGAGCGTAAAAATCAAATAATTCTTCCCAATGTGTATTACTCAATTTAACCGACCGACGATATATACTTCAGATGATCTTCTCTACGAAGTTAAGCTAGCTGCAAGCCCTATTTAAGATTTAGGTAACAAAGAAGTCACATTTTGTCTACCTTTAATACTTTTAAATTTAAAAATTTTGTCCAACGTACAAGTTTATCTCTTCCGAAATCCTCTTTTGTTTAGAATGATAAACCAGATAGACAAGCTCGTTAAGTAGGTAACTATATCTCAGATAGGGGACTAATCCTAAACCATTCGTTTCTACTATTCAAAAGTTATTGGACAAACAAAAAGAAACTGGAAAATAAGGGGGTGAAACATAACTCTGCATGTACGCAAAAGTTCCAACGTTCACTAAAAATGCCCGAGCAGATAAGATGCGATATGCACGAAACCAGCTAAGTGATCAACATCATAAAAAGGAAAGAGACGAACTTTATCCGATAAGAACGGAATTAAAAATCGATATATGCATTCGAAAACAAATCACTAAAATCGCGCCGCTAATTCGAGTAGATATACTGAAACCGCGTGTGTATCGTACGTTACCATAGCCTTGAATCGCATATCATTAATGCTCCGTGTCTTACTGAACCGCGACAGTGCAGTACGTGCGTAGACATATAAACCTACACAAGCATTCCCTTTGCTACACAACAATTCGAAGTAGACCGTTTTTATGTTGGTCGTCTGTGGATGCACGGGGTCAGCTAGCGACAACAACAACAACCACAAGGTATGCCAATGAGTTGCCTTGAACCAAAATAAATCAATGGCCTGTTAGGAATCCCGTCTGTGGTAGATCCTTCATTTCTCAATCAGTGCATGTCTACTGTTTTGACCGTATAGGCAGAAATATCAATGCTAACTAGTTTGACGATCATCTAAACGAAACTGGAAGAGACAATTGTGTCAGGTACCAAAAGGCAGTTAAAACAAAACAAATTCGTGGAAGTTAATCAAAGCAAACAACTAGGAGGAAGGAGTCTTTCGTCAAGTATTTTATTTGATCAACGGGTAT